TCATGTGTAAAGTATGAAAATAGAAACGGGTCAACTGACAGCCTTGCCAAACTCTAAACATACATTCTATAGAAAGGTGTACATCCTTCTTCAAAGTTATACATGATTTCACATGCGCATATTTAAACTATTACATATGATTTTGTAAATAATTAACGCTACACCGTATCCTGTTTCGTAACCTAATACTGAGTTCAAGGAATACCATAATCTATCACATGTGGGATGTTTAGCTGTTCTTGTCAACATTACATGGTTACGTCACCGATGATCTGAGTGGCACCGGATGAGATACCAATACCATTTGACAAGTCAATTTTTGTGTTGTGTTTTGTTCGTGGAGTTGCGGTTCTTAACGACCTTGCCCTAACACCACTAGGTCACGGCATTAGGGCATGCAACGTGAAAGACAGCTGCAATATCATGATCCTGGTTGGTTGGTTTGTTGCTTAACTCAGCAATATTCCAGCTATATGGCGGCGGTCTGTAAATAATCGAATCTGGACCAGACAATCCAGTGATCAACAACATGAGCATCGATCTACACAACTGGGATACGATAACATGTGTCAACCAAGTCAATGAGCCTGACCAGCCGATCTCGTTAGTCGCCTCTTACGACAAGCATGGGTTACTGAAGACCAATTCTAACCCGGATCAGCACCAGTTCATGATAATTTATAAATGGACTATGACCCAGGTTGCGCGCTCATATACCTTACAGCCATTTTATGTCTTACAAGTCCCTGCCGGTGGTGGTGTGGCCCACTCAAAATACTTTTGGCATGTAGAATATTGTTTCCCTCGAGTGAAATGATATCAGTGAAATATCGATTTTGTACTTGCCGATAAATATAGTTTGTTATCAATAAATCATAACCTAAGCCGTGAATAAACTCCCAGACGAAAATTCTCAATAACATCCACTTGTATTAATTCAAGAAGATTCCAGCGTCTTACTCTAAACTACGTAATATTAAGCTGAAGCACCCTTCTCTGGCTGTCATTAGACCTTCCTGTTGATCAAGAAGTTTAAACATTTCTGGTGAGTATTCGCGTTATTTAACATGAGGTCAAGACATGTGCACCCATCCCAATTTCCTAATAATCACTGATCCGGCAGCTTGGCTATGTACACAGTTTCATAACCGGTACTTGCTGTCTTGCATACATGCAGCGTACTGGCGAATTCCGCTTGCTTCCTTCACAGAGCCAGATAACATTTAGACTGTAAGAGAGACGCTGCCAAACCCTTTGTATTCCTCCCCCGGCCTTATTGTAACGGAGTGTCAATAAATACCTAGGTCAAAAAGCGTATCTTTATGCATCGCGTCGGTATTGTTCTTTGTGAACTCTGAGCTATCTGCTGGGGTACTGTGCCCTCTAAATGTATGGGAGTTATCTGCCTTGAGTATCTAGATTTCTGCTTTGGCGGACAGGGGTCATTCAGTTCGCTTCAATGACATACTATAGTTTGAATGTAACGATGTATGCCGAATGTATTCGAGTGGGGCATTGGGGAACAGTCTTCGGATCCTCACAACTGTGGTATGCGGAGAGTTATCTGCCCTTGGTGGATCGTCTGACTTGACCATGGTACATCACAGTTACTGTGTCTGTATGACACAAGAAGCGCATAAATACATAACTCAAGACAAAGAAGTGATTACTAACATTTAAACCGATACTCCAGAGGTTAAGAATACAATCATCAGTCAACTGTTTTATGTGCTAGAGGTGCTGGTTTCCTGGTTTGGAAACCTTGCGGGACTCCCGTCTCTTGCCGCCCACAAGTAGTAATACATATGGCGTCAAAGTGTGAAAAACGTTTGTATTTCAATGCTGAGTCAAAGCATTAGCGCATTTCAATGGGAAATGGTTCGTCTACAATATTCGTCACTACGTGCATCCAACCGTAGTTAAGAGAATGTCACCGTTCGGCTTGTTGCGGAATGAAATGCGTTGCCATGGAGTACTCTTGAAACTGCTGGGGCTGCGGGATTGCTTCTAGTAGATGGCTTATGGTTTGTTCCAGGGACTTTGGGTGTAGTGTGCTGTAGCACGCTCGCTTGTCATGCCGAATGTTCGTGTTTCATTCTCCCCTATGGTTCAGTGTGAGCCAATATCTGGTGTCACCCGTCGTGATATTGCGGAAATACTTATAAAAGCCAAGCACACACAAACCTGTTTTTAGAACGCAAAGCAGATCGTTGTTTGTGTGCGTACAAATATATCGTTCCCTGCCATTGGCCACAAACCGTGCCGTTCATGCACTGCATCTACTATATATACAACAAGCACCATAAGAAATTGTCCCGACAAACACATATGTACAGTTTCTTTTGGTGCCTAATATATATAGACCGGTTCTTTATAGAGATTCTGTTCTCGGTCTAATTCAGTTAAATATAATACTGTAAACATGCTGAGAAGAGGGAGAGAGAGAGAGTCAAAGTGAGAATGTCGCTAGTACTATGCATACACCGGCATTGTGTGGTAACAATGGTTGTTATGGTGAAATTGGGTATTGTGTGGTCACAATGATTGCTGCATGGACACAGGGTACTGTGTAGTCACAAAGGTTGCTGTGTGGACATGTTTTATTGTGTGGTCACAATGGCTGTTTTATGGACATGGGGTACTATGTAGTTACTGCGGTTGCTGTGGACACGGGGTATTGTGTGGTCACAATGGTTATTTTGTGGACTCGGGTTGTTGTGTGGTCACAATGGTTATTTTGTGGACACGGGGTATTGTGTGGTCAAAATGGCTATTTCGTCGACATGGGGTATTGTGTGGTCACAATGGTTATTTTGTGGACACGGGGTATGGTGTGGTCACAATGGCTATTTTGTCGTCACGGGGTATTGTGTGGTCACAATGGCTATTTTGTCGTCACGGGGAATTGTGTGGTCACAATGGTTAATTTGTGGACACGGGGTATTGTGTGGTCACAATGGGGTATTCTGTGGTCACAATGGGGTATTGTGTGGTCACAATGGCTATTTTGTCGTCACGGGGTATTGTGTGGTCACAATGGCCCTTTTGTCGACATCGGGGTATTGTGTGGTCACAGTGGCTATTTTGTCGACACGGGGTATTGTGTGGTCACAATGGCTATTTTGTCGACATGGGGGTATTGTGTGGTCACAATGGTTATTTTATGGACACGGGGTATTGTGTGGTCACAATGGCTATTTTGTCGACACGGGGTATTGTGTGGTCACCATAGTTATTTATGGACACGGGGTATTGTGTGGTCACAATGGCTATTTTGTCGACATGGGGTATTGTGTGGTCACAATGGTTATTTTATCGACATGGGGTATTGTGTGGTCACAATGGTTATTTTGTCGACACAGGGTATTGTGTGGTCACAATGGCTATTTTGGTCACAATGGCTATTTCGTCAACATTATTGCGTTTTATTTTGTCGACATGGGGGTATTGTGTGGTCACAATGGCTATTTTGTCGACACGGGGTATTGTGTGGTCACAATGGCTATTTTGTCGTCACAGGGGTATGGTCACCATAGTTATTTATATTCACAATGGCTATTTTGTCGACATGGGGTATTGTGTGGTCACAATGGTTATTTTATCGTGGTCACAATGGTTATTTTGTCGTCACAATGGCTATTTTGTGGACTCGGGGTATGGTGTGGTCACAATGGCTATTTTGTCGTCACGGGGTATTGTGTGGTCACAATGGCTATTTTGTCGTCACGGGGAATTGTGTGGTCACAATGGTTAATTTGTGGACACGGGGTATTGTGTGGTCACAATGGGGTATTCTGTGGTCACAATGGGGTATTGTGTGGTCACAATGGCTATTTTGTCGTCACGGGGTATTGTGTGGTCACAATGGCCCTTTTGTCGACATGGGGTATTGTGTGGTCACAATGGGGTATTGTCTGGTCACAATGGCTAATTTGTCGTCCCGGGGTATTGTGTGGTCACAATGGCTATTTTGTCGTCACGGGGAATTGTGTGGTCACAATGGTTATTTTGTGGATACGGGGTATTGTGTGGTCACAATGGTTATTTTATGGACATGGGGTATTGTGTGGTCACAATGGTTATTTTGTCGACACAGGGTATTGTGTGGTCACAATGGTTGTTTTGTCGACACAGGGTATTGTTTGGTGTTCAGGCTGGGGCTGTGGATACGGGGTATTGTGGGTCTCAACGGTTGTTGTGTGTGACCTTCCGGGCCAAGGGACGTATACACTCATCTTTGATGGCGGCGTGAAATACACAAGAACTCTTTATTCAATGCTTGTATATTTGATACTTGTATCATAAGCTTTCAAACTTTGCGTCTGTTTCTGGGCCCTGTTTCTGAAAGCTATCGTAGCGCTACGACTGTCGTACCTCCTATACAGTAACATAGACTTAAGATAGTCGTAGCGTTACGATAGCTTTCAGAAACGGGACCCTGCCTGGTAACATATTAACAACGTTTGTAATTTTGGGGTCAAAACCAGGTGCATACTTTCCTTTCCTCGGAATGCTATGTATATAATGTCGGCAACTGCTGAGTATGACTGTTATTACGTTGAATACGTAAAATAAAATGAAGAAATTCCGATGGTTTTTCCTTGTAGGTGGTCCCTAGGTTTAAACGATGCTGGCTTGACTTTACTGATATGATCAAGAAATAGATTACCACATCACCTCCAATTGAAATGATGACATGCAAGCAGCTACGCTACCAACGCTGCAATACGTCTCGAGCATGTGTAACCTACAAACTGGGATTTCACCACGAGAGGAGGCTGGGTGTTTTGAATGTTTTACGACAGGCGTTTGTCGGGGGCCAGCTCGCTACTCAAAAATGACAGACAACTTCACCATGCATTAGCAAATATTCCCAGACAAGCTTTGAAGCCTCTCGCTTTCAGAAAAATTCTTCTGAGCCTCGAGACCGAGTTAGAGTTTTGTATCTCATAAACATTTAATTTAAAATATCTGAGTGAGTGTAAGCTTGGGAGTGTTATCAGTCGACGCTTTGAGGGAGACAGGCACAGTGTGGAGGGGACCGGAGTGACGGCAGCAGGGTCGGGGGCTTCACTGCAGGCAGGTGCGTGAGGATTAGCGATGGAGATAGGAGAGTGTACTTCGAGTCACAGAGGTTTGTCGGGGTCATGACCGGATGCAGGGAGAATCACGGGGTGACAGCATCGATGTCGAACTCACGTCATAAAGGGAGACGTAAGTAGCGGAGATAACGGGCGCCCTATGTTGAGTGAGTGAGTGAGTTTGCCGATTTAAACAGTATTGCAACACACCAATATAGGGTTTCAAACATGTTTTAGTGTACGGAGTTTTACATTGGCACTCCCATATTAGTTCAGTTGGGGAGACTTGGCAGAATACATGGCGAGAAACCAGACCTTGTCACCAAACTCCAATTTGTAATCAGAAAAAATGGAATCTTTCGGTAGGAATATTCGAGTAACGCTGAGGGAATTCACATTTGGGTAGGTAAGGTAATCTGTCATACAGACCCTGAAGTAAATATATCCAAGAAAGCCCACGCAAGTCTAGAAAATGTGGCAAGTCTAGATTTCCACAGCTTCAGGCTATGGGCGTCCATGTTAACGTCGACCTTCCTTTCCTCAATGGAAAACCCTGTAGGGGAGACTAAGGTGGCATCAATAGGTGAGACGAGGGCGGGTCCAGTAGGGGAGACGAGGGCGGGTCCAGTAGGTGAGACGAGGCGGGTCCAGTAGGGGAGACGAGGGCGGGTCCAGTAGGGGAGACGAGGACGGGTCCAGTAGGTGAGACGAGGGCGGGTCCAGTAGGGGAGACTAGGACGCAGGTCCAGTAGGGAGACGAGGGCGGGTCCAGTAGGGAGACGAGGGCGGGTCCAGTAGGGGAGACGAGGGCGGGTCCAGTAGGGGAGACGAGGGCGGGTCCAGTAGGGAGACTAGGGCGGGTCCAGTAGGGAGACTAAGGGGCATCAATAGGGTGAGACGAGGGCGGGTCCAGTAGGGGGAGACGAGGGCGGGTCAGTAGGGGAGACGAGGGCGGGTCCAGTAGGGGAGACGAGGAGGGCGGGTCCAGTAGGGGAGACTCCAGTAGGGAGATCAAGGTGGCATCAATAGGTGAGACGAGGGCGGGTCAGTAGGGGAGACGAGGACGGGTCCAGGGGGAGACGGGTTCAGTACAGTAGGGGGCAATAGGTAAGGTGAGCATCAGTAGGTCAGTAGGGGAGACGAGGGCGGGTCAGTAGGGGAGACTAGGGCGGGTCCAGTAGGGGAGACGAGGGGCGGGTCCAGTAGGGGAGACGAGGGTCCAGTAGGGGAGACGAGGGCGGGTCCAGTAGGGGAGACTAGGGCGGGTCCAGTAGGGGAGACTAGGACGGGTTCAGTAGGGGAGACTAAGGTGGCATCAATAGGTGAGACGAGGGCGGGTCCAGTAGGGGAGACTAGGGCGGGTCCAGTAGGGGAGACGAGGGCGGGTCCAGTAGGGTGAGACGAGGGCGGGTCCAGTAGGTGAGACGAGGGCGGGTCCAGTAGGGGAGACTAGGGCGGGTCCAGTAGGGGAGACTAGGGCGGGTCCAGTAGGGGAGACTAAGATTGGTTCAGTAGGGAGGACTGGGGCTGGATCAGTAGGGGAGACTACGGCGAGCTCACAAGGGGAGGCTCGGGCGGGTCCAGTACGGGAGACTATGTGGGTATATTAGGAGAGACGAGGGCGGGTTCAGTAGGGGAGACTAGGACGGGTTCAGTATGGGAGACTTGGACGGGTTCAGTAGGGGAGACTAGGACGGGTTCAGTATGAGAGACGTAAGTGATCTCAGTAGGGGAGACTAGGACGGGTTCAGTAGGGGTGATTAGGACGGGTTCAGGAGGGGAGATTAGGACGGGTTCAGTATGAGAGACTTAAGTGGGTTCAGTAGGGGAGACTAGGACGGGCTCAGTAGGGGTGATAAGGACGGGTTCAGGAGGGGAGATTAGGACGGGTTCAGTATGAAGGACTTAAGTGGGTTCAGTAGGGGAGACTAGGACGGGTTCAGTAGGGGTGATTAGGACGGGTTCAGGAGGGGAGACTAGGACGGGTTCAGTATGAGAGACTTAAGTGGGCTCAGTAGGGGAGACTAGGACGGGTTCAGTATGAGAGACGTAAGTGGGCTCAGTAGGGCAGACTAAGACGGGTTCAGTAGGGGAGACTTAAGTGGGCTCAGTAAGGGGAGACTAGGACGGGTTCAGTAGGAGAGACGTAAGTGGGCTCAGTAGGGGAGATTAGGACGGGTTCAGTATGAGAGACGTAAGTGGGCTCAGTAGGGGAGATTAGGACGGGTTCAGTATGAGAGACGTAAGTGGGGTTCAGTAGGGAGATTAGGAGACTCAGTAGGGGAGACTTAAGTTGGTTCAGTAGGGGAGACTAGGACGGGTTCAGTATGAGAGACTTAAGTGGGTTCAGTAGGGGAGACTAGGACGGGCTCAGTAGGGGAGATTAGGACGGTTTCAGTATGAGAGACGTAAGTGGGCTCAGTAGGGGAGATTAGGACGGGTTCAGTATGAGAGACGTAAGTGGGCTCAGTAGGGGAGACTAGGACGGGTTCAGTAGGGGAGACTAGGACGGGTTCAGTAGGGGAGACTAGGACGGTTTCAGTATGAGAGACGTAAGTGGGCTCAGTAGGGGAGATTAGGACGGGTTCAGTATGAGAGACGTAAAGTAGGGCTCAGTAGGGGAGACTAGGACGGGTTCAGTAGGGAGATTAGGACGGGTTCAGTATGAGACGTTAAGTGGGCTCAGTAGGGGAGATTAGGACGGGTTCAGTATGAGAGACGTAAGTGGGCTCAGTAGGGGAGATTAGGACGGGTTCAGTATGAGAGACGTAAGTGGGCTCAGTAGGGGAGACTAGGACGGGTTCAGTAGGGGAGATTAGGACGGGTTCAGTCTGAGAGACTTAAGTGGGCTCAGTAGGGGAGACTAGGACGGGTTCAGTAGGGGAGATTAGGACGGGTTCAGTATGAGAGACGTAAGTGGGCTCAGTAGGGGAGACTAGGACGGGTTCAGTATGAGAGACGTAAGTGGGCTCAGTAGGGGAGACTAGGACGGTTTCAGTATGAGAGACGTAAGTGGGCTCAGTAGGGGAGATTAGGACGGGTTCAGTATGAGAGACGTAAGTGGGCTCAGTAGGGGAGACTAGGACGGGTTCAGTAGGGGAGATTAGGACGGGTTCAGTAGGGGAGACTAGAACGGGTTCAGTAGGGGAGACTTAAGTTGGGTTCAGTAGGGGAGACTAGAACGGGTTCAGTAGGGGAGACCTAAGTTGGTTCAGTAGGGGAGACCAGGGACGGGTTCAGTAGGGGAGACTAGGACGGGTTCAGTATGAGAGACTAAAGTGGGTTCAGTAGGGGAGTCTAGGACGGGCTCAGTAGGGGAGATTAGGACGGGTTCAGTAGGGGAGACTAGAACGGGTTCAGTAGGGGAGACTTAAGTTGGTTCAGTAGGGGAGACTAGGACGGGTTCAGTATGAGAGACTTAAGTGGGTTCAGTAGGGGAGACTAGGGCGGGTTCAGTAGGGGAGACTAGGACGGGTTCAGTAGGGGAGACTAGGGCAGGTTCAGTAGGGGAGACTTAAGACGGGTTCAGTAGGGGAGACTTGGACGGGTTCAGTATGAGAGACTTAAGTGGGCTCAGTAGGGGAGACTTGGACGGGTTCAGTATGAGAGACTTAAGTGGGCTCAGTAGGGGAGACTAGGACGGGCTCAGTAGGGGAGATTAGGACGGGTTCAGTAGGGGAGACTAGAACGGGTTCAGTAGGGAGACTTAAGTTGGTTCAGTAGGGGAGACTAGGACGGGTTCAGTATGAGAGACTTAAGTTGGTTCAGTAGGGGAGACTAGGGCGGTTCAGTAGGGGAGACTAGGACGGGCTCAGTAGGGGAGACTAGGGCGGGTTCAGTAGGGGAGACTTAAGTGGGCTCACTAGGGGAGACTAGGACGGGTTCAGTAGGGGAAACTAGGACGGGTTCAGTAGGAGAGACTTAAGTGGGCTCAGTAGGGCAGACTAAGACGGGTTCAGTAGGGGAGACTAGGACGGGTTCAGTAGGGGAAACTAGGACGGGTTCAGTAGGAGAGACTTAAGTGGGCTCAGTAGGGCAGACTAAGACGGGTTCAGTAGGGGAGACTAAGACGGGCTCAGTAGGGGAGACTAGGACGGGCTCAGTAGGGGAGACTTAGATGGGTTCAGTAGGGGAGACTAGGATGGGTTCAGCAGGGGAGACTAAGACGGGTTCAGTAGGGGAGACTAGGACGGGCTCAGTAGGGCAGACTAAGACGGGTTCAGTAGGGGAGACTGGGACGGGCTCAGTAGGGGAGACTAAGACGGGTTCAGTAGGGGAGACTAAGACGGGCTCAGTAGGGGAGACTAAGATGGGTTCAGTAAGGGAGACTAAGATGGGTTCAGTAGGGGAGACTAGGGCGGGTTCAGTAGGGGAGACTAAGATGGGTTCAGTAGGGGAGACTAAGATGGGTTCAGTAGGGGAGACTAGGACGGGCTCAGTAGGGGAGACTTAAGTGGGCTCACTAGGGGAGACTAGGATGGGTTCAGTAGGGGAGACTAAGATGGGTTCAGTAAGGGAGACTAGGACGGGTTCAGTAGGGGAGACTAAGATGGGTTCAGTAGGGGAGACTAAGATGGGTTCAGTAGGGGAGACTAGGGCGGGTTCAGTAGGGGAGACTAGGACGGGTTCAGTAGGGGAGACTAGGGCAGGTTCAGTAGGGGAGACTTAAGTGGGCTCAGTAGGGGAGACTTGGACGGGTTCAGTATGAGAGACTTAAGTGGGCTCAGTAGGGGAAACTTGGACGGGTTCAGCATGAGAGACTTAAGTGGGTTCAGTAGGGGAGACTAGGACGGGCTCAGTAGGGGAGACTTAAGTGGGCTCACTAGGGGAGACTAGGATGGGTTCAGTAGGGGAGACTAAGATGGGTTCAGTAGGGGAGACTAGGACGGGTTCAGTAGGGGAGACTAAGATGGGTTCAGTAGGGGAGACTAAGATGGGTTCAGTAGGGGAGACTAGGGCGGGTTCAGTAGGGGAGACTAGGACGGGTTCAGTAGGGGAGACTAGGGCAGGTTCAGTAGGGGAGACTTAAGTGGGCTCAGTAGGGGAGACTTGGACGGGTTCAGTATGAGAGACTTAAGTGGGCTCAGTAGGGGAAACTTGGACGGGTTCAGCATGAGAGACTTAAGTGGGCTC